AAATAATATAAATTAACTTCTTAATTTTCTTCCAGTGGCCCTAATCCTCTTCCTCATTGTGACATAAATATTAACTTTGTTTAGAGCGCTTTTGTTGAAACCTGTTTGTTAAACAGTCCAGTAACTCGTGGTCGGACATTTTACTCAAGAGCAAAGAAATTTTAAAAAGATTACTCAAGTAAAAATGATGGTGCAGTAAAACTATTCCTAAAAGTACATTATTGTCAAAAAGTTACTGTAGTAAATGCAACTACCGTATTGTCGGGAATATAAGCCACCTTTAAACCATGCGGCTTATTAAAAGGTGCGGCTTTTCTGTGGATTTTTTCTAAGCGCCAAAGAGGGAAGTCAAACTTATAAATGAAAGATTAAGGGGCTAATTTGCATTTAGCAATAGAACATGCTAGCAGCAGGCATTACGGAGAACAAATGTCCAGAATTCAGACATTTTGACATTTATTTGCTGCATTAAAGCTGCTGAACCGATGAAGAGACTGAGGCTAACTCCTGCAGAGCTGAAATAAAAAGCTGATGAAGCTCCATCTTTCAGTAGAAGCTCTGACTGCTGCGAGCTAACAAGCTAACCAGAGCTAGCATTCTTCTTCCTCCCTACTCCAGGGGTTAAATGTAGAGCGCCCCCTGCAGGTTTGGTGGGAGACAGATCAGTAGATATCAGTGGCTTATATCAATTGTTTTTGTTTGTTTTGTTTTACTTTCTGAGTGCGCTCTATAGTCCGGAAAATACGGTACTTAAATCTGCTTGGTTTATAGTCAGGAGTTTTTTTATTTTTCCCTTCCTGTTTGCTACACATTGTTCATGTTTTGTTACAATTTCACAATTTACAATTTTTTTTGGTTTAAATTGGCACTTTAGTCATATTTTTTCATAATTGTTAGATTTTTACCACAAAAAAAGGAAAAAGAAAACGCAACGTCGTCTTAAAATACTGGCAAATCGAACTTATAGGGGATCTGTTAGAAGGAATGTCGGTCCTAGAAATCCTTTAGTCCCAAACGCTTTAGTCTTCAGTTACCCAATTTTAAATCTTTAAGATGATTTATTCTGTATTAAACCTCTATACTATTGGCTGAATGTTTCAGTCTTTATTCCGCTGCTCTTAATAAAAACAGGATCATATATTGTGGTTTAGACTCACGTTGCCGGCGCGGTTGGTTGGGCTGGCCGTGGTGACGCCCGTCTCCTCCTCGTCCTCGTCCGTCTCCATCCCAGGGCCTCTTCCTGCCGCGAGAATCCCCGCCCTCCTTTGAGCTCAGGTCAAAGAAGAACTGACTGGCCGGCTCCTGGACCAAAAACAAAAAAGGTGAAGGAAGCAGCTTAAAGGTATAAAGGACNCCCTCCTTTGAGCTCAGGTCAAAGAAGAACTGACTGGCCGGCTCCTGGACCAAAAACAAAAAAGGTGAAGGAAGCAGCTTAAAGGTATAAAGGACAAGCTTTTATTTCCAGGTGGATCATCTAACCAAGTGGTCCTCCTAGTTGTCAATCATTCAGATGTTTACGTAAGGCCGTCCTATGTGCTCAGCCCGTTAGCTATCTTTTTCTGCGCAATTTCAGGCATAGCTATGTGGTGAGCTACGGTTTCAGTCATTGAAGCTTTGAGCGGAGAGATCTTCTCGGCCCGCTGCCGCTACCCGACAGCTACGACTAATAACCAAGATGGCGCAGGCACCGAGTGGTAGAGGAGGACTTAACGTGACCAACGGAGCAAAAGGCAGTGATCATCTGTCTGAACGGTCAGTTAACTTAGTTCCCTATATTCCAAAATTAAAAATTAAAAACAATCCACTGGAGTTTGTTTCCAAGTTTGAAGACGTTTCTCTTCCATCCAGGAAGCTTTTTCAATCCAAAATGTCAGAAATAGCGTTTAGTTCCAGGTTTTATACAGCAGCCCAACAAAGCCTGGTTTTAGTTTAGAAAACATGCAAATAGAAACGGATGAACGGTTCCATCCCTTTGGAATGGGGGTCATTTGGCTTCTTTGTTAGCCTGAAATGCCCCATACCTATATAGGGGACTTTAGGGTCCCCTATATAGGTATAAGGGGTGGAACGGTTCACAAAATCCACGGTTCGGTTCGGTTCACGGTTTCGTGGTTTTCGGTTGATTGTTAGGAAAATCTATTATGTCTTGTATAGTATAACACGTTTACATGAAAAAATACACTCAGAGAGGAAAGCAAAGGTGAACATGACCAGATAAAGATCAATTACAATAAAAGAAAAACAAAGAAGTAAAACAAATAACAGGAGATTTATCTCTGCAAACATTTAAAACAAACATAGAGCCATAGAAATAATAGAAACAAAAAGGTGAATGCACTAAAAATAGCAGATGTTTGGAGAAATCAAGTCTCAATTTTTTGGAATATTTGTCATTTTTTATCTTCTTAAAATAGATTTTAAAGTCATTCATAAACCAATGGAAGGAAGGTTTAGATTTTCTCCATTTAGCGCAGTGGATCTGATATTTACCCAACAGGAGGAGGACATTAATAGTATAGGAAACAGGCTGGGGAAGATGGTCCGTATAAAAAATTACATCATTTAGTGCAAAAGGGGTGTTGCACAATGCTTGCACAGTTTTTACCCCCAGCTTTCTTCCCGCCGTCATCGTAGGTCACTCTAAATGCAAAGTGGTCCCATACAGCAGACCTATAAAGTGCTGCTGGCGCGTCTTCCAACTCCTGTTCTTTCCCACTCGCCATACCCACACAATTCTCCACAACAACTGATTTTTTCCTGCTACACCCGGCTACGCTGCTTCGCTTCTTCTTCTTCTTGTTTACTACTGGTGGTTGGCTTTGGTCGCAGTACCGCCACCTTCTGCTCTGGAGTGGAAACGCTTCCTCTATGAGAAAAAGGAGCAGCGCATGAACCGAACGCAACACACGCGAACCGAACCGAACGGTTCGGACGGTTTTCAGAAACCGTTCCATCCCTAATAGGTACGCATGCACAATTATTTTTATTTTTTTAAGTGGAGTGGGCGGGACTTTTAAAAAATCCTCCATAATTCCTTTAAGAATCCATTTTTACGCTACAAGAAGAGAAAAATGTGCTTTTAAGATGTATTAGAACTACTGTTGAATATCAGTGATATTTCCTGTTGGTGTTTTTTTGCACCTAAAACATTTTATAAATGATTATTTTTTAACTTCTATTATTCATATCCATTTTAAACCAGGCATTTTTTTTCAATCTACAGTAGGCAAAAGTATTGAACACACCACCATTTTTCTCAGAGCCTCATAATTTGACATTTAAAGAATAAATCTGTAATTGTTTTCTCTTTTTTTTCCTAGTCAGCAGGACTGAAGCGAAAGCAGCGTTTTGCACTGAGAAAAGCAAAGTAACTTCTGCAGTTAATGCCGAGACACCAGGTAGGTTCAAATCAGACCTGCACCTACTAGATTAAAATATCTCCTGATCTGATTTTAGTCTCATCTTTGCTAAAACAGAACAAATAATCAATAAAATCTCCAATTCTAAAGATTCATGATGCATTAAAACGCTGCTGAATATCAGTGATATTTCCTGTTTTTATTCGTACCTCCTCATCGGCGGTGCTGAACGCAGCTTTCTTTGTCTCCGTCTTGTCCTTCACGGAGCGTCTGTAGGGATTCTCTGTTGCATCCTGAGGCTGCTTCACCAGCTCCGTGGGATCCATGTTCTTCATGGGGACGATGTTGAAGGCGTACAGATACTGCAGACGCAGTAAAATAACAACTAAGAAAATACGTTCTGGTATAAGAAGATATAAACGTTGCACTCTTTAGATAGTCTGAGTTCATCTCTAGATGGAGATAATTGAATGAGACCGACCTTCTTCTTGGCGGGGTTGTTGACGGCTGCCAGGGCGATGAAGCGGCTGACATGTTGAGCGTTTTCCTGGAGAACCACATGATTTCTGAGGAAACAAGGACGCCGGAATCAGAGTCTTGTGTAAAAGAGGTTAATAAATATATAATTAAAGCCTTCTTTACCTGTATGGGAGCCTCTCATAGTGAACGCCCTCTAGTGCAGCAAAGTGATAACGCGGTTTCAGCTTCTCAGCGAGGCTGGCGATGGAGCCGCTTCCACAAGACTTTGTGTTCAGCTCCTGTCGCACAGAAATTAGTTTGGAAACGGATCCTTTGAAGCGTTTCTACCAGGATACGTGAAGACGTTTGGGTTACCGGGTTGTTTCCATAGTGCCACACGCCACGCGGCCACTGTGACGTCAGCAGGATGTCCACGCCCCTGAACTTGGAGCTGCTGCTCAGCGACGTGACGAGCGCCGACAGGTCCTTGGAGGTGAAGCAGTGGGCCGGGGCCGGTTCCTGGAGGGCCTCTCTGCCGCTGACGTAGGCCAGCTGCAGTCCGGACGCTCCGGTGAACACGCCGCGCCGACCTGAAACGCAGCATGAAGCAGGCGCCGTTTTCACATCCCTGATGAGCAGAGCTGCTCGGATCAAAGGGAAAAGTCGATACTTTGGAAGATTTTGTGGACATTTATGTTAATATTTGAACAAGATGAGGAGAACTGGATTCCTAACCGACTCAGCAGGTTTGGTTTATAATTGGGAAACTAGAAATTAACTCAGTTTTTCAAAGAATCGTTTGCTTTACAAACCTAAAAAAAAACCTACAAAATGACAGAATTACAGACAAAATAATTAAGATTTAATCAAATTCTATTTAATGTAAAAAACATTATATGAATATTTTTTTTCCTGCAACTAAAATTTTTTATAAATGGACCAATTTATTCAACTTCTATTATTCTTATTCATTTTAAACCAGGCAGTCTTTGCCATCTACAGCGGGTTAAAGTATTGAACATTTTTCAGCACGTCTTTTTCACCAGATGTCGGTAACAATCCGCACATCTAAACTAGGGATGCACCATATTGGGATTTTGGCCGATATCCGATATGCCGATATTTTAAA